TAGCTTGTAAAATAATTAATATATTATCTCACTAAAACATTTATACTAATAAAAATTTAATTTTAGCATATAAATTTATCCCTTGATATAAGAGAAAGTAACAGTTTTACTTATTGTTGTTCACCATATAATATTTAATTATTATTTTATTATATAATAAAAAAAATATTGTTAAATAGTGTAGTAGAATTGTTATAAAATTATATGATTATTTTTTTACAATATGGATTTAATATTTTTTTATGATTTGATAATATAAACAAATCTATACTTAACTTTGGCAAATAAAACAAACAAATACTTTAGTAAGTATTTAATGTATATACTAAATAGGAATATATTTGGTATAATCGAATACCAAATATAATCAAATAAGTCAAAGTGTACATTTTTATTTGGTATTTGATTTTTTTATTATTAAAATCTTTTTATTATACTTACCTTTTTAAAATAAAACAAATAAATAAAACAATTAAATAAATAAAATATTATAATACCAAAATAGTAATAACATTTAATGCAGTTGACTTTTCTGGATAGTAAATATAGTAAATAGAATCTCTTTTCATATAAGTATAGATTGTATAATACGGAAATAGTAATGCAATAAATGTTGTTGACTTTTCTTTATATTAAATCTGGTAAATGGTATACCTTTTAATATAAGTATAGATATATTTTAATTAACTGTCACGTGGTGAGTATAATAATAATAATATATAATTTATTTAATCAACTGATTACGTGCATACTATAATAATAATAGTAATAAACAATGGATAGCACACGTTTTGAAAAGTTAAAGGCAATCAATCAATTCACATGAATTATAGGTGAGATTAATGAATGGTGAGATAATATCCGTTCATTTATATAATTTAGTGTGAAAAGGACATAAAAAAAGTGTGAAAAGGACATAAAAGTTACTAATTTTAGTAAACATTTAATGCAGACAGGATGTTGACTAAGAATTGACCTACTAATTTTAATCAATGAGTTTCCTTTCCTTGTAGCCAAATTGTGAATGTGATTTGAAGAGTACAACAAATCGATATATAGTTGACTTGCTTTTTTCATTGTAGTTTTTTTTTATATATAATGAATTTAAAGATATTCTAAAATATAGCAAAAATTAATTTTTTTATTACAATTAGGAATTTTACTAAATATAAACTCTCAATCTATGGTGTTAATCAACGTTTAAGTCTAAAAAATTAGAAATTTTTACCACTTTTAATCAACGTTTAAGTCTAAAAAAAAATAGAGTTATTCTAAGTTTTTTTTTTTCTACATCTTTTAAGACATTAAATATGTGCATGTTAGGGCTAGCTTGTAAAATAAATAATATATTATCTCACTAAAACATTTATACTAATAAAAATTTAATTTTAGCATATAAATTTATCCCTTGATATAAGAGAAAGTAACAGTTTTACTTATTGTTGTTCACCATATAATATTTAATTATTATTTTATTATATAATAAAAAAAATATTGTTAAATAGTGTAGTAGAATTGTTATAAAATTATATGATTTTTTTTTTTACAATATGGATTTAATATTTTTTTATGATTTGATAATATAAACAAATCTATACTTAACTTTGACAAATAAAACAAACAAATACTTTAGTAAGTATTTAATGTATATACTAAATAGGAATATATTTGGTATAATCAAATATCAAATATAATCAAATTAGTCAAAGTGTACATTTTTATTTGGTATTTGATTTTTTTATTATTAAAATCTTTTTATTATACTTACCTTTTTAAAATAAAATAAATAAATAAAACAATTAAATAAATAAAATATTATAATACCAAAATAGTAATGACATTCAATGCAGTTGGCTTTTCTGGATAGTAAATATAGTAAATAGAATCTCTTTTTATATATCTATAGATTGTATAATACGGAAATAGTAATGCAATAAATGTTGTTGACTTTTCTTTATATTTAATCTGGTAAATGGTATACCTTTTAATATAAGTATAGATATATTTTAATTAACTGTCACGTGGTGAGTATAATAATAATAATAATATATAATTTATTTAATCAACTGATTACGTGCATACTATAATAATAATAGTAATAAACAATGGATAGCACACGTTTTCAAAAGTTAAAGGCAATCAATCAATTCACATGAATTATAGGTGAGATTAATGAAAGGTGAGATAATATCCGTTCATTTATATAATCTAGTGTGAAAAGGACATAAAAGTTACTAATTTTAGTAAACATTTAATGCAGACAGGATGTTGATTAAGAATTGACCTATTAATTTTGAAAAAGGTTAATTCTTATTATATAAGTATAGATTGGAATAAATTACACTTTAATGATTTGAAAAAAAAAAAATGTATCAGTACTGAATTTTTCTCAAATAATTATACAATTTCTAAAACTTATTTCGAAACAAGAAACGTCCGCCCCTTATAATCTGCAACTGATGCCTAGTGATTAATGANTATATTATAAATGGTAAGATGGTATATCCTAAATAATTTACTTGAATTAATACAATCGTCCCTAAACAATGCCCTCCCTCTCATCTCTTCTCCATCTCTCTCTTTTTTATATGAGTGGACATCAACGGTAGGAGCGGATGGCAAACTCCAGGCCATCGTCGAAGAAGTTGTCACAGATGTTGGTGGAAATAGGACTTGAGCCGGTCCAGGCCGGCGGTTTTATCGCCTTCTTATAGCCGACGAGTTTTGTAGAGGAGGAGGGAGTAAGGGATGGTGGTGATGTATGGGTAGAAATTGGCGGTCACGGAGTGGAGAAATTTTATGTAAATAAACACGTAACATATACTGAAAATATATTGACTATAAAAGCAACATATACTGAAATTATTCTAATGCCCGTCATGTACAAGATTTTGACGCTTAAGCCTTGACCTCTTTTTCTTATAATTGTTGACTTGGACAGTTTTGTCATTCATTTTTTTTTTTCAGTCAGATAAATGTGGTTGGATAAATATTATGTAAATAAATAACCTTGATAAGGATGTAGTTCGTGGTTTGAAAGAGATGCTCGATCTTTACAACGTTTTGGTCAAGTCGTTCAAAGTGGCGAGGGAGACGATGAACCAACACCAACAATGCAAAGTTAAGATGCGTCTTATCGGTAAAAAGAACAAGGATGGTCGGCGTTATAATTACCCTCCACTTCTGAAGTTGTTTAGTTGTTAGCGGTTTCGATGATGCTATGGGCAACAGAGATATTATAGTAGAAAATCAGAGCCGACGTCTGCAGCGGATCAACAAGTTGAACGCTTCCTACTAGGCTCTCTGTTATCCCATTCTTTTTCCATATAGCGAGGATGGTTACCGGGAGGACATTTCATTCTCTTGTCTATAAGTGATTACGAAGAAGTCGAGGAAATTTATCTGCCCGTTGGAGTTTTTCAAATATCGAATGCACGATCGTGATCAGGAATTGTCGTCAATCCTTTTCGCTCGGAAGTTGTATCAACAATTTGTTGTGGACGCTTATATAATGATGGAGGGAGCTCGGCTCAGATATATCCGTTTTGACCAGAAAAATTTGAGAACCGAGTTGTACAGCCATATTTTCGATGTTGTTTTGTGCAGTGACACCGATCTTAGTTCTCAAGGCAAACGGATTATACTTTTGTCGTCCTTTACGTGGGGCGCGATATATATGGTTCAGAACTATCAGAATGCGCTGGCCATTTGTCGTTGGACCGATTATCATGTGATATATTCATAACCTTCACTTACAACCCGAAGTGGCCAGAAATCAGTCGTTTTCTCGCCGAGAGGAACCTCAACCCCGAGGATCGTCCTGATATAATTTGTCGGGTATTTAAGGCTAATTTGGATGCATTGATGAGGGATGTTCGACACAACAAGATGTTTGGTGATGTGAATACATGTATTTATTAAATTTTATTCAATAAATTAGTTTATTCAAATATAATACTATTTTTTGTGCATTGTGTTGTGTTGGAACCGAAAATGTATTTATTGCACCATACATACAAGATTGAATTTCAGAAGTGTGCCATTCCGCATGCTCATATCTTGCTATTCATGGCTAAAGAACACAAGATTCCGACTACTGAGGCATAGATAAAATATTTTATGTTGAAGTACCGGATGATGCCACTGATCCATTTTACTATATCACTGCCAGAGATCATATGATGCAAGGCCCATGCGGAAGTGTTCGCCCAAAATCTTCGTCTATGGCGAATGATTGTTTCACGAAGCCTTTTCCAAAAATGCTCTTCGAAACCACCACACTTAACGAGGAAGGATATCCACAATACAGGTGTCGTGACAATGGCAAGACTATAGAAAAGAACGGTGTTTCCCTAGATAACAGATATGTTGTGTCTCAAAACAGAAAATTGCTCTTTAAGTACGGTGCACACATAAATATGGAGTGGCGCAGCCAGTCGGGGTCAATTAGGTATTGGTTCAAATATGTGAACAAGGGATATGATCACGTAACCGCCACCTTCTATGAATCCAATGGTGATGAGTCCTCTAGCAGACTGATTGATGAGATGAAGATGTACTATGATACCTATCTTGTGAAGTTGTGTAGCGGTTGTTCGAGTTTGATATTCAAGACAAGCACCCATCAGTTGAGCGCTTGAACTTTTGTCTCGAGAACGAGCATCATTGCTACTATGACGATGAAGATTTGATTGAAGAAGTGGTTAAGAAAAATAAAAAAACTGGTAGCAATTTTTTGGCTTGGACAGAGGCCAACAAAAAGTATCCCGCTGCTAGGGAACTTACATGCGTTGAGGCTCGCACTTAATTTATTTGGCACTCGGACACAAACAGTTGGGAGCCTTGGAAATCAGGAGATCGGATTGAGCATTTGTACTTCGTCCCTCCTGGTGCTGAAGATATATATTACTTGAGGTGTCTTATAAAGATTGTCCGAGGTGCAACTTGCCATCATGACTATACGAAGTTGAATGTTGTCCAGCACGGTTCATATTGCGACACGTGTTTTGCCCTCGGTTTGGTGAAGGACGACAATGAGTATATTGAAGGCATTATTGATGCAAGTCAATGATCAAGCACAAGTTCTTTGAGAAACCTCTTTGCAAATCTTCTTTCCTTTGATACTCTTGGTCGAGCGGAGTTTGTGTGGGACGTATGTTGGCTTACTTACTGGATGACATATTATATAATCGTCGTAGTGTTTTACACCATCTACGTAACCGATTCATCTTTTGTTATCTACTTTTTGTTTTTCCTTTTTCTATTTTGTCTTTATATTTATAATTTTTTTATATTGTTGTTTCATAATTGGTTATGAGCGCTGAGGAAGTAAAGAATCTCGCTTTGGCGAAGGTTGAAAAGATATTGCGCAGACGTGGGATGAGTTTACAAGTATATGGTACAATGTCTTTTCCCAATCTCGATCGTAATGAGACATGTCCACGAACAGATTGGTGATGGACGAATTGAATTACGTTCGTCGTGCACTCGTGTCGTGATTGAGAATCATGAGTTGGTTGTCAATATGGCTGATGAGCAGCGCTATGCTTATGGCTCGATTATGGACTCGGTTTACCATAACCACGACCGCATGTTTTTTGTTACTAGAGCTAGCGATAATGTTCTTATTCCTAGGATCACAATCATACCATCCGATTTCAGGGTATCGTTCAAGTTTCAGCTCAGAAAATTTTCGTTCATGGTCTCCTATGATACGACAATCAATAAAAGTCAAGGCCAGTCTCTGTCCCACGTCGGCTTACTACTGAAAAGCCCTATATTCAATCATGGACAATTGTAATTGGCTCTTTCTAGAGACACGAGTCGGAGGGGTTTGAAGATAATGATTTGTGGTGATATGGATTCCAACAATAGGAAAACCACGAATTGTTGTATATGAAGAAGTTATGATTTTTTTTTTTTTTGCCTCAATTTGTAATACTTTCTTCTACATTAAATATTTTATTACTTCTTTGGACCAACATCAGAGACCCATGACCCAACATCTGAGGCCCAACGTGTGTATGTATTTGGGCCGAACAAACCTCTCAAAACCCAAATGCAAAGCAAATTAATCTAGCCTGCAATTTCTCTCTCCTCGCATCCGCCCACATCCAATTTCCAGTACAGACTTCACCTAAAGTCCTAGCAAAACCCTAAATCCCAAGAACAAGCCAAAACCCCCAAGAAGCCAAAACCCCAAGAAGGAAGAAATGCATATGCTTCGATATGTTCACACGTCTCAATGATGAGACGATTGCGTAGAATTTCAGAATTTCAGGTGTATCTCAATGCCCACAGCATAATCGCAAAACCCTCATTCCCAACACAGTTTAATCGCCATCATGTAACTCAGACACCGCCCATCAATAGGAATCAGACGTCGTTGGAAATTATTGCGTCCCTATTTTCCAGTAAATTGGGACATAGTCCGGCAGAGGTGATCGCAAGACAAAAACTGCGGGAATGTGTTTCCCAGTTGAGGAACGAGCTTTTGAGTCAAAGCGAGGAGGATGTGGAGAAAATCGAGAGAGTCCTGGAAGAAGATGGCGTCGCTCTTTTCAGGAAATATCCAGATGGGTCCGCCGTGGTTGAGCTTTTTACGCAGCTGAAATCTTTTCCCGATCTATCTTTGAAGGTGGATATTTTTTTTTTTTTCGTTTATTTCATTTTATCTTCTTCTTGTGTATCCTTTGTGTAACCATTACGTAATACGCATCTTTATTCTCTGTGTTTCATAGCTATGCTCTATATTTTGGCTGAATGGAGAGTTTTGGAATCATTTCCTGCCGAACCATTTTGTTAATGGCACAGTGTTTGCATCTAATCGAGTTTCACTAGTGAAAATACATCATGTAGATTGGATAAGGATTAATCAGTTGCATCCTGTCAGGTTTTTTCTTGGAGGAGAAGACAACTGGACTACGCAGCACCCATGACTGCCGAGGAGTACACAAAGGGCATTATCGTGGCCAGCAAATTGAAAAATGTCGATCTTTCAGTCGAGCTTTTCAAAGAAGCTTTGAACAAGAACCTAACCAAGACATCTGTGTACAACGCCCTACTAAGCGCCTATATGTACAACGGCTTGACCATGAGGTGTCAATCCCTTTTCCGGGACCTGAAAATGGACCCCTTGTGCTCCCCAACCATCACCACATACAACATACTCATATCAGCATTCGGCCGATTAATGCTCGTGGACCACATGGAAGCCACTCTCAAGGAAATCAATGATTCGAACATCCCACCAACACTCGACACATACAAAGGCTTGATTTCTGGCTACATCACTGCATGGAAGTGGGACAAAATGGAAAAAACCTACTTTCTGATGAAATCGGGCCCAATCCAGCCTGACTTGGATATCCAGCTTCTAATGCTGCGTGGGTATTCGCACTCTGGTAAAATAGAGAAAATGGAGGAAATTTACGAGATGGTGAAATCTCACTTCGATGGTAATATGGTCCCGTTGATTAGATCCATGATTTCTGCATACTGCAAGAGTTCGCATGTTGCTCGTGTTCAAAGAATTGAGGAATTGCTTAGATTTATCCCGGAGGACGATTACAAGCCCTGGCTGAACGTGTTCTTGATTTGTTTGTACGCGAAAGAGGATTTATTGGAGCAGATGGAAAACGCGATTAGCATGGCATTCCAGCGGAAAGCTTACGTGACGACAGCTCGTGTCATGAGATGTGTCATCTCGAGTTATTTTAGGCAGAATGCGGTGGACAGGCTTGCCGAGTTTGTGCGGCTTGCCGAGTGTGCCGGATGGAAAAGGTGCAGGTCGTGTTACCACTGCAAAATGGTTTTGTACGCGAATGAGATGAGGATTTACGAGATGGAGAAGGTTCTTGATGAGATGGACAGAGTAAAAATACCCTTCTGCAAGAAGACGTTCTGGATACTGTACAAGGCCTACCAGAAATTCAATCTGAGGTCTAAGCTCGAACTCGTGGCTGGGATGATGTGCAAACTTGGATACGGAATACCTATGGATATATCGGTTTAGTGGTAGAAATATTTAATTGATTAGCTAAAGAATGTTTTGAGCGTTCCCTGAGCATGAGTGAGGCTGATCCGAACTCGCATTTGGAGATGGCAGTTCTTTTTAAAAATTGAAGGTAAACATAGTTTTTCTTCTTTTTCTGATTCCACCATTTTCGTTTTTGGTTTATTTCTTTTATCTTGACTTGTGAATTACTCGTGTATCTAGCTAGTCTGAGCATGCGCTAGAAGATTTTCTGCCCATGCTGCACTTTCACATTTTTTGACCAATAAGTAGGATTGTGCTGTCTAATTTATTTATACCATGAATATAGAAGTTGTTAGTAGCTTCACTTGGAAATAAGTTAGGAGTGGGGTTCTTTGTGTCTTTTGGATAATTAGAGCACCTATATTATGATTGGGTTGCAACTTTATGTGCTCATATTGCCCTATTAAAGAAATGAAGAAATTAATTTGAGTTATGACTTATGGTTTCAGTGAAAGACAAGCCATCTTTTAAATTGCATGGTAAACTTTTCTGGTTGATTTAATCTTTATGGATATCCAATTTCTATTCATGCTGCCGAATGCAGGCACATCCCATGTTTAGTTTTTTGTCTACCATTTTCTTTTGTAAGTTGTGTGCCAATCGAGCCAATCGAATACAGGCACAGCCCATGTTCAGTTGTTTGTGTGCTGTTTTTTTTTTTCGTTTTCTTTCTTTCAAGTTCTGGAAAATGTTGCAGACTCCTATGTCGTTTATATGTTATCTTTGCTGCACATGTCATTGTCTTTTTCCTTGACAAACCAGGAAAAGATATGCGCATCAAATACTATGAATTTAGCAACATACCAAAACAAAAGTTGGCCCTTGTGAGAATTTATTGTGAAAATTTCAGCATTTAACTCCCTGATGACATAGTTGCAAGTTTCAACCTTGCACCCCAATGAATAACAATGGCTTCATCATTTAATGCAGTGCTCTTACATTCTCGTCCAAGGAAGACGTCAATTCCTGAATTATAGAAGCCATCAAAGAAAATTGACATCGGATCTCCAAATCTCGTAATATTATGGGTTGCCTTCCATTTGTACAATAAATCGGCTACCAGACTTGTACATGCTGATCACATTCAATTTTGTATACATTGATAGTTTTTTACAGCAGATTCAGAATAAGAGTAGCATTGATTATACTTCTTTGTGGAAACTCTACTTTTGACTCGTATTTCTCGCTATTCTAAGCCTCTAACTGCTACAAGGCACGGTGGATAAGGTCCTAGCTTATCTTGTACTGCTTACTGCTTATACACAAGATATTTGTGTATTGCTCTGGAAATTTATTTAGATGTGCTCATCCATACATTGTCAGATAGAATTAGAACAGGAACAGGAAAAGAAAAGGAGAAAAGATCTGAGACGAGATCTACGCAGTCCATTTGATAATAGTGACTGGGAGGGCTTCACTGGTTTTCTGGTCATATTTGAAATCTTAGATCTCAGATTTTTGTTAAGATTTCACATTTGGGATTATGAAATTTTAGGTTTTTAGTGGTGGAATTTTAGGCTTTTAGGTTTTGCTCATTGTTAAAGAACACTTTTCGTTAGGCAGTTTTGGCACAAATTTTTTGTCTTGATTTTGTTAATTTTAAATTATGGCAAAAATATGAATAAATGTCGCACGAATTTTCCGTATCTTTTTTAGTTTTTCTATCGAACCAGCTTACAAGAAGAAATCTAGAATAAAGTACCTCATTATATCTTTCACAATTTTTTTTTTTTTTTTTTTTAATGCATATTTATGTTATGAAATGTTTATTTCTTTTACGTGGTTCTTTAGACACATCTGATTCGTCATAATTTTTTAACAAAAATTGCAAGTTCATGTTATGAAATGTTATGCTTTTGCTCATCTTATTTTTAGAGTATGATATATCAGTTCTTGGAAATGAAAGATGTTTTAACCATTAGGTAGACAACTTACTGCATTTATTTATGGGTCGCGCTACAATACCCAAGTTCCTTGACATATTTGGGTTACAAAATGACATGGCAACAATTATATAAAAATAAAAAATTAATAATCTATAAATAAAAAAATTAATGAAAAAAATTTACTTTTCCCAAATTACAACCGTCCTTTTTCCCAACCCTCTCTCTTCTACCTTACAAATCATGGTCGATTTCTTTGAGCCGATTTCTTCGAGATACAAGTGAAGGGCGACAATTTTCTTTCAATTACTCTTTATTTATTTATTTTTTTTTTTTTCCCTATTCNTTCTTTGAGAAACAAGTGAATGGCGACAATTTTCTTTCAATTACTCTTCATTTCGTTTTTTTTTCCCTATTCTCACCCCCACGCAAAGGCGTACGCTTGTTTTTTTACTTCTGTTCATTTCATTATTTTTTTGTTTCTCGATCGCACCCCACACACAAGACTGAAGGATTGTTTCTGGTGAGCTTAATTTGAGTTATTATGATGTTAGTTTTCTTCAATTGATAACAGGATGAAGAAAAGAAATGAAGTCGTCTTATAAACAAAAATATTTATTTAAATGTTTGCTTGAGAAAATTTAGCAGAATTGGATTTTATTTTTTTTCATTCCCTTACCGCTATCCATGAGAAAAGATACTCATATGTAGTCAGGAACCTGAATTAGGACAAAGACAAAATTTTAAAAGTTAATCTTAGCCGTTGATTTATGTTTAATCCTGTCCGTACAACTCACTTTGTCAATATGGTTTGTCAAGTGACTTAGCTAAAGTAGCATTATTCTTTTATTTATTTGTTTATTTTTCCCTTTATGCATTTGTCATGTGATACAATTGAAGAAATCTAGATTGTGAGTGAAATAAATGCAAAGGCAATTTGGTGGGCAGTCATCGTTATTGTTATTGAGAGGAATCAAATATCCCACCAACTAAAAAGACTGTGGATGCACCAATAATATATATATTCCAAACCAAATAAATGACAAAAATCATTGCAAAGTGTAAACAACAAAATAAAATTCAAATTACAACTATTTGCATATATTATTTATATATATTAATTGTAAATGTCTTGCACGTTTGGTTTTATTGGACAATACTGTGCGTTGCCCCATCAGCACCACCAATTAGGACTTAGATCCATGCTTCTGGACACTCCAATTGCCACCCTTTAGTCAATTTTCTTTTATAACTATCATTATTTATATGGAATGAAAGTCATCATTAACTTTAATTTCACTGTTTTGTTGGTATTTATTTTTGAAAATATGGATGGTCAACATAAGAATCTATATGAGAAAGATTCTGAGTTAAGATAAAACAACAGTAATGACATAAAAAAGTGAATTAAATTAAGGAAGAAACAGTGAACATTGTCTGTAACATGAAGATTTGGCAAAGATTTTGTTCTTGTTATAATTTGTCAACATATTCCTTTTGTTGTTCTTGTCGGAAAATATCCAAACAAATATTTCATATATTTGAAATGTTCGGTATCAAGAACTAATCTTGTTCAAGATTTGAAGTCTAATCTAATCCTTCTTAACTAAATATTAAAGCGATAATTTAGGTTTCTAAGATGTTCTTAAATGAGAAAAATAAATTATTAAAGTGAAAAAAAAAAAGAGCAAGCACATAAAAGCCTATTTTTGCATCTTATGAAGTTTTTTAAAGAAAAATATAATAAGTTTAATAAAGTTATAAGATTTTAAGCTTATAAAATATTTTGAAGAGCTTATGAAATCATTGGAACAACCTGTCGTATAATTGGTTCTGAGCATCATGCTCATAAATTCCATAATATTCAGAATATTTAAAATGTGGAATTTTAAATAATATGAAAAGATTTATGCTGTTTGATTTGTTTGGCTAAAATTGAGTGGGATAAACAAAAAAATCCATCCTATCGTCTCGTAAAAAAAAGCAATAAATCCATCAAGATTACACATGTTTCAACATTGAAGACAATAACCTCACACCATCTTGCAAACTTTGATATGTCAAAGAAGGTAATCAAGTCAAACTAGGTAATAATCCCGTAAAAAGACCTATCACAATAAGGGACAACTAATAGAAACATACATGTGTGTTACCAAAGAAACATCAAAGTAAAAAGAAAAAAAATTAATAATGAAGTAAAAAGGAACAAGCAAAGTAATAGAATCAAGATTAGTTAACTAATCCCAACAACTAACATTCAAAAGGAGTTATCTTTTATTTTATTTTTTCTTGTGGGGGGAGTTTGTGTCATTTAGTTACAACTTACAACAGATCATTTCACATATTCACTATATCATCTATTCATCTCACAGGATCAGTTGAAATCTAATCTTCACCAAGAATGAACATTTGAATAATTAATAAAAATAAAAAATAAAAAAATACCAAGAATGCCCTCGCGAGTTTATGACCCGAGCAGGAAACAACCGACCCGAGTTGCCTCCAACATAAGGAAAGTTGCTACAAGAAGGAAAAAAACCATAAGATGATGTTTAGAAGAAAACAATCAAACGGCTGTCCAAAGAAGATGATCAAATCAACATCAGATGACAGTGAGAGAAGCATCCATTGTTTGAACTTATGTCCAATCATTTTTTGGCAAAATTTTCACTCAGCTTTGGTGGATAGGGTTCTTGGGTGGTGGGGTTGGGTGTGGGGGGGTTCACAACAGGATCCCATGGTCCACCACTTGAATACAAATGTTGTGCATCTTCTTGTAAAGGAGGTCAAATGTTTGGAGAACACGGGTAATATAATCCTTTCTTGACAGACATAAGAATATATATATTGTTTTCTTGCTGAGCATACAAAATTTTTAGCCTGTTTTGGCTACACAGAACTTTTCAGGAGTTCAAAAGATCAAAACATAGCAGATTAAGTTACAAATCAACTTCTGGCTGTCAACTGGAAACTTTTCTTGCCNTCACCACAAATGAACAACAAATTGCCAAGAAAGCAAATCAGAAAACCACAGACATCAGAAACCATCAAGATAAAATTAGCATTACATAAAAAGGGAAGTTTGCATTGTTTTGTTACATATAAACACAAAAGTACTATATATATTTGTAGAAAACAAGTGTAAATCCTAAAATACCAGAGATAAACGACGCATGGATTACCCTAATCCATGCATCGGATTAGTTTCTTACGTCATACTTGGCAGCCGGTAGGGTACAATCAATCTACAACCGAGTACAAACCCCAACAACCCTACAACCCTCGTCATCATTTAGAAGTCGGTCGTGAAATATCTTCGAAATAAATTCCTTCGCCTAATACGACAATCGAGACTGACCAGAATCTTCCCAACATAGAAATAAATAACCGCTATAAGTAAACCATCATACCAACCACCACAGACTAACAGAAGCAACCAAACCCAACAACATAAGTAAACTTTTTTCTACATAGCATTAGCACTAAAACAACAAGAAAAAAAAAAAGNCACACAAATCAGCAATCGGGCCGAACAAACCTTTTCATCTCGTCCATCAACGCCGGAAAATGATCATTATTCGGCAGGAAATAAAACCCGATACTCGCCTTCTCCAAATAAAGCAGCTTCACCTCATGCCCATACTTCCTCAACCCCTCCACATACCCCAGCTGCCAATCCTGCAATAAATCCAACCCAGCCACCACCACAAGACTCTTGGGAAAATTCAGCCCGTCTAAGGCCCGACCCCTCGGCCCAAACACATTACAAGCCGGGTGATCCCTATCCTCCCCTTCCGGCAAATACGCACGCCAATACCAATCCCGATCCTGAATCCTCACGAAATACTTCCCGTCAAGCCTCTTTTCCGATTCCGTCCTTTCTTCCCCTCCAAACAACGGGTGCAAAAGAATGCTCCCGAGCACCTCGACATTCTCGTTCGCCGCACGAACCGCGACATGATGAGCAATATTTCCTCCCGAGCTGTCGCCCGCCAGATAGACATGAACTTTGTGATTACCTTCTTCACCGCTCTTCAACCACGACCTTGATCGGGCCCACATGAGAGAGGCCCAACCGTCGTCGTACGCACACGGAAACCGGTGCTCTGGCGAGCGGCGGTAGTCGACGGAGACGACCGCCGCGCGGAGAGTGGCGGCGAGGCGGCGGCAGAAGGTGTCGTAAATGGCGCTGTTTGCGGAGGAATGGACGAAACTGCCCCCGTGGAAGAAGATGACGACGGGGACGATTTCGGAGGAGCTGAGAGGGGTGTCGGGCTCGAGGATGCTGACGTGGCGGGGTTCGGAGGAGGGCATGTAGACGCGGTTGAGGAGGTTTGTGGTGCGGTCGAGGATGACGTCGAAGGAGTAGATGCCGTCGACGGGGTTTGCGTTGGAAGGGACTTTGCGGTCGAGGAATTCGTTGAGGTCGCGGTTGAAAGTGCCGTCTGGCCGACGGAGCATGTTGTAGGCGAGCTTGAAGTTGGATATGAGGATCCATGTGTTGAGAGGGACAACACTCTGCATAAATTTGATTCAGACAGTTAGTTTTTTTTTTTTATCATCTTTTGTTTATTTGGGGGGTTTTGAGTAATTTGGTGTAAAGATTATTTTTTTGATTCTGTTTTTGGGATGTTTTACTTGTGGATCATGGTGCTGAAACATAATGAAGTTGAATTGGAAACAGATAATCTTGTCATATACAAAGAAAAGACTGGAAAAGTTTGGGAAGATGAATAAAAGCAGAATAGAAAAGGTGAATAGAAATCACATATATCCATAAAAAGAAAGGAGAGAGGAAGAAATAGAAGTACGAGCTAAAAGAAACCCNATAAATTGTGTAAAAATCAAATCTTTGGAACACAAACTACACCCTTTCCTTCCAAAATCAACACCCTCATCAGGTAAAACAAGTTCAAACAGATATTCTCAAGAAAATTCAAGCACCCAAAATCAAGAATAACCCAAAAATTGCAACAACAAAGAAAGCCCCTCACTCTAATCAGCAGATCAGCGAATCACAAAATCATGAGTGGAGTACGATTTTACCTTAGACTCACTGACGTTCAGCTCATTACTTCCCGCCATTTCGAGAAAAACAGTCGCTGCCCAGATATCCTACGAAGACGATCTCTCGCAGTACGTTTTACAAGCTATTAATTTTTCTGTTTCGCTCATGAGCCCTATTTATGGTTTTCTTTTGAGGGGGAATTTAGCTCTAAAAAAATCAAGAGACGGAGATGACACCAGCAGAAATTATATTTTCAGGGAGAGGACAAAAGGGGGGTTTCTCTTTAATCCAATCTCTCCCAACAGAAACTCGAAAAAAGGGATCGAGGAGAAGATAAACATCAAAACAGAGGAGAGAAAGGGGAGGAAAGATGGGGAATAAATTAAAAACTCATATTTTCTCTCTCTAAATAAATAAATAAAAACAAACACAGTGCGGCGTGGAAAGAGAAAAAGGGTGGAGAAAAACGCGTGAAATTACTATAATGGCTTAGATTTTTTTCATTATAAATAAAGAGTCAAAACTCAATTGCTATGAACAAACGACGGTGAGAGAGGAGATGAGGAAGACGACAAAAGGACGGAGGATGATGGATTAATTTAACTGTTTAGGGGGGGCCCGCCGGCAATTATGGTAATTACTATTGTTGTTATTATTACTTTTGTTTTTATTATTGTGTATGGTTTTTTGTTTTGTTTTAAAATAAAAAAATACTTTTATTTCTATCCGAAGGTATATATACATACAGTATACCGTATACAGCGACAGTATTGCTCATTTTCTCGTGACGAAGAACCCGCGTGAGCAACTTGTTTTGATAAATAAAATTAATAAAAAATAAATCAGGGAAGAGTTCGGGTTTTTAATTTTTAATTTTTTTTTTAATAATTCAAATTTTCATAAGTTTTCAAGGGTTTTTCCTTCATTTTGTTTTTCAACATTCATTTTTGTTTTAGTGGCTAGTGACATTGGAAACCAATTTATTTTTTTTGCTAAATCATTTTTTTTCTTACGGATCACGTTTGAATATAAACTTTTAATTTGGAATTCACTGGTTAATCTAATCCAACTTTATTTTTATTAATATTACTAATATATTTAAATAGTATTAATTAATTATTAGTACATGATTTTCAACAAAAACTATTATTCATCACCTGAAATATTTTTATAATTGTTATTTTACTATATTTATATCAAGTCTACATTAATCATTACATTCTAACTCATACTCGGAAACTCAAAATCAAATATAAATTTTCATACAATCAGTATTGTTCAACTTTAACTCACATTATTCAATAAATTAACTGCAATCCAAAAAATCCATTTCAAACCGCCAAGTCGATTATTTAAGGTTTTTTTTTTTAACTTTCTATTTTTTATTTTTTTCTGTTTCGCTATATTCTTTTGAAAATATTATCATTGTAAATGAGATTTAATTTTGGACATTTGTTGCGATTACTGATATCTTTTCGCTATTGATCTTCTCTATTGAATGTGTTGGATTTTCTACAGTCAAGTTACTCACAAGTATATTCTTATTTACTATTAAATTCCATTAGTACAATACTCGTGTATTACACGGGTGTTGAGTTAAGAAATATATGATAAAAGTTATTGTTAAAATAAATTTTTTATTTAAAAATTTTGATGGACAATAAAAGTAATTTGTAAATCGTAATTTATGAGAGAAATATGAGAGAAAATTATAATATGATAAAATTGCTACTTGCCAAACTAAGAAGGAAATGTGTATTAAGAGAAAAAAAAAATAACAAAATTAAATATACACTTGCCAAGTTTGAAAAAAGTTATTTAATTATGTCTAATTCCAAGCCTAATTGCAGAGCAAAAATGAATATATAAACAACATTACGAAATATAGATTTTCGCCATATCAATATCCGAAGCGTGAGAACTTAGGCTCAATATGTTTTAAATTAATATATAAGGGTGGATATTACTTCTAATCGAATAACATCATCTATTAATATATAAAGAGGGAATGATAGTTTTTTGAAAAAATCATGTGGAAAATCAGCAAAAAAAAAATTTCAATTCCCGCCTAAAATTTAACACAATTCTTGGCGAAAAAAATGAATATCCCGCCCATACAATTCGAAAATTTTGGAAGTCATTTTACTGATTTTCAGCGCCTAAATACTCGCGTTATTATTGGATGCTCACGTTATTATGGGATGATGATAATATTATTATGTAAGATTTGGTCAGATTTTTATGCCACTTATTTGTAGATATCCTAATCTTAATAAAAAAAACACACGCAAAACATATATTTGGATTTCATGTGCTGTTACCGGTTTTTTGGATATATAAATATATTGAAATTATGTTCACATGTTAGTAATTACATTCAATTGTGTGAAATATATATTTGAAATCAGTGGGTAATTTTCATTCTGAATATATGAACTTTAGATGAGTGGATAATGGATTCAGAATTGTGATATGTGCTTTAATTGCATATTGATAAATTGATGTGGGCCCCAATTCATAATCAAGTTCTCATCTGAAATAGAAATTGGATACGGATTCAGTGGTTTTGATTTTTTAAATTCATGTGAATGAGAACCTTCATTAGCATGATTTATATGCTGGATGAGTCTGAATTTGGTTTTGTCTGATAATTTGCATGGACAGAATTGGTTTTATGTGAATCTATTAATATATGAAGAGGGAATGATAGTTGTTTAAAAAAATCAAGTATAAAATAAGCAAAAAAAAAAGATTTCAATTCCCGCCTAAACAATAATATTTACTAGATAGGGTAATATTTTTTGACGAAATTTAAAAAATCCCGCCTTCTTTAAATTAACTTCTAATTCTTTTAGAAATTTGAACTGTTTGGTTTCGGCCACTTTGGAAAGAAAATCGGATGCAGTTTGGCCAATTTGGAAAAAATATCGGCACTAAGTTTGTGTTGTGTCTATCTATATGCTCTTTACTTTTTTAACTACACCTAAAATCCCACTACGCCTATGTTAAATTCCACCTAAAATGTGATTGCCTTGGTAATAAAACAATAATTATTTTGGTAATAACAAAAATAAAATTTTAGCTCATTTAAATAGTTAGATTAATTCTTTCCAATTTATTTTATGCCAATAAAAAACTATGAAAATATTTAATTTAAACAATATTTCACCAATCTATCTATTAATATATAGAGAGACAAAAATATTTACTTGAAATAATAATTAAAAATTAGTAAAAAAATATTTAGTTTCTTGCTTAAAAATTCAGATTTACTAAATTGGATAATTTTTTTGGCTAAAATTTGAAAAATCCCGACTAAATTAAATGTAATTAATGTACAAAATTATTTTCGTCAAATATTGCGGCTATTACCTTTATTAGTTGCATGATTTAAATTTAGTATATAATATATTGACAAAACTTGCTGCTATTATCTTTATTAGTTGCATGATTTAAGTTTGATATATAATATATTGAAAAAAACAAAATTATTTAAAATTAAAAATAAAAAAATAATTATACAGAACTTACGAGCATTGTTTTTTCACCCGGACCGGCCCGGCGGGTCAACCCGGGACCTGGTCGACCCAGAGCCAGAACCGGTCCGGGTGGGCTATTTGGACCGGACAACAAAGGACCCGGTCAAACCCGACCGACCCGAGGCATTGCCCCAGCCAGGTCAACCCGATTGACCCGGTCCATATATATTTTTTTATTTTTTTTTATTTTTTTTGTTGTTTAAAAATAAAACTATGTATATATATTTATATGATAAATATTTATCATGAGTTACATATTATTAACACTTTAATATACAAATTTCATACACAAAACATTTAATTTTGTTATTTTTATGTATATTTATATGACAAAAATACTCTATATATAATTTTAAAAATTTTAAAATTAATTATCCGCTTTAATAATTGACCCGGTGACCCGACGGTTGAACCGGTGACCCGAGGAACTGCACGAGTCCATTACCGGGCCGGGTTTAAAAACTATGCTTACGAGTCAATAGTAATTAGGACATAAACGAAATAGTCAATTATTTTAATTTAGTAAATTACTCAACTACTTAATTTATAGTCAATTTAAACTATATATCATTTTCAATAAATTAATATAGGTAAATTGTATTATATATTGATTCCATATATTTAATTTATAAATATTATCTAATAAAAATTTTTAATTTATAAATATTAATGAATTTTTCTTACCCGTGCATTGCACGGAACTCATACTAGTTATAATTGATGCCCGTTACTGCTTAAACTATAAATGTGCACTTGTCAATTGCTTATTGGTGGCTTTGAATACACAATGGAGTTAAACAAACTGAATAGAACTATTCACTCTGCGAGAGTAAACCTTTTTTAAGAGCCAAATAATAATTATAACAACATAATTTTTTAAATTATTGTTGTTTTAAAGTAAGGTTGTTATCGAACTAAATTGAATCGAGCTTAAAGTTTTTGAGCTTGAGTTCGATTAATATGTTCTAGTTCGTTCGTTTAGTGTTCGAACAAAAATTTCGTACATGTTCGTTTGTTTATTGGTTCGGCAAGTTCGTGTTCGTTCATAGTAGAACTAGTTCGTGAACTGTTCGAATTATTTAAATTGCTCGACAGGTTCATATTCGTGTTTGTTAACTTTTTTTTTTTAATTTTAGTTTCATACACGTTATATTATTTAATATTTAATATATATCTATATTTATATATTATATTATAATATGTATATACTATATATATAATATAAAATTATAAAATACCTTTTGTTCTCGAACGCTCGTTTAGTTCGTGAACTTGTTCATATTCGTTCTATAAATATACGAGCATAATTTCATATTAGAGTTTATTTTCATTACTAAGAACGAGTTACTATTGATCACAACGAATACGAATGGGCTTTGTTTGCGGAGATTAAATAACCGCCCAAATTTAAGGGCTGAAAGCAAGCTAGTTTTCATCAAAGTCCACAGCACTTATTACAACTGCTCCATTTATTAAGTTTTTTTTGTTTGTTTTCGCATTTACTTATTCCATCTTTTGTTTGTATTCCCTGTCTTTTGTAATTTCTTCTTTTATAGTGGCTTCAGCAATCCACTTGAAAAAGACTAATCAATAGGGCATCAAAACTAGAAACCTACTACTACTATTTGTAACTTTACTAGTACTCCACCGCCCATTGCCCGGTCTCCATTGTCCGGTCTAATAATATTAAAAATGATATGAATGAATTATAATTTAATAAAAAATTAATTTAAAAAATATTTATTAACATTTAAGATAAGTAGAATAAAAATTTTATTAATATATTTAAAAATACTTCCACAAATATAACATTAACAGTAGATGAATTGTGTTCATTATTACCAACAGTAATAATAATAATTAGACAACATAGATTGGTGACTCTAGAAACAATAACAACATATAATTATCTATAACTAAAAAAATATAATAATTTTTTCTTAAATTTCTAAAATTCAATTAATAAGCTTATAAAAATATGTGATATAGTATGAAATAATTTA